CCCGATGTTTATATAAACCGTTACAGCTGCCAGGGATCAGACATTCCATGACTGCCCAGAGGTCAGAATATGGGTAGCCGCCACCGCCATTGTGATAAACCACCTCCTGCCGTATCAGCGGGTCGGGGTAACAATATGTAGTATAACAGTCCTTAACATGTGGACTGGTTAGTGGATATATAACATTTAGGCCGTATCAGCGGGTCGGGGTAACAATATGTAGTATAACAGTCCTTAACATGTGGACTGGTTAGTGGGTATATAACATTAAGGCGATTCATCCCTGAAGACACATTTGAACTCCTCCAATTCAAAGGTTGGAATAGTTAAATATGAAACATATTTATGGCGAGGTTCAAATGTGACTGTAGGGGTGGATGGGTTAAAGACCTCTGTGCAGAGGAAGGAAGCGGAAGGGAGAGAATTAATAAGGACTTTAGGGAGGGGGGAATCTGTTTGGGGTTTACATCTTCGTAACAGCTAAGGTCATAGGAAGGTTGATGGCAAGGAAGACACCGGCGAAACGAACGAGTACATAGGTGGGATGAGAAAAGACGCATCCGGGGTGTTGCAATGAGAGCAGCAGATATATTGTGGTTTCTTCAATAAACCACATTCCGCAGTTGGCCACATTAGTCGCCTCTTACGAAATACTTTGGTATACATCAGGTCTGTTGGAAGCTCTGCTGAGGTCGTAAAATGTGATATAGACAGGATTTTCTTACGAAAGGTGACAAATTGTTAATGTATCAGTCTTTGTCAGATAGATATATTATTTTGCCTCAGCTATACAACAGCGTGTCTGATTGGATCATATTGATCACATGACAAGAAAAGAAATCATCATGTCGGCCTCACGCGCTCCAGTTTCCCTGATTTTATTTCCTTTATTCGGAGCCTCTCTAGAAATAATCGCAAAAGCCACCAAAATCCAGTTCCGAATGACTAAAGCAGACGACAACAGTGGTGCGTCAACTTTATCATCTTTGCAATAGGACAATTGTTTTATTTCGGCTAGCCCGAGTTTCCTCTGGTCCTAACACCAGACTTAGACATGTTGACATATAGATGTCTGGTGTGGGGCCAGAGCGCACTGCTATACCCACACCAGACATCTGTATGTCAAAATGTCTAAGTCTGGTGTAAAAGACAGAGGAAACTCGGGCTATATTTCGCCATGATAAAATATTGGTTGCTATTGTTGTAGGGTTATGATTATGATTAGAAACATGATTAACCACGGAGAAAAAAGACTCCTAGTTCCCTACAACAGAGCAATAAATAAAATACATCATGGCAAAAAATCGCCATAAAAATTTGATTGATCTGTAAGATTCAATGATTACAACAGCGCGCATAAATTTCCCATATCTGTTCGCCCGTCTGTCTGTCTGTCTTTCCGTATCTCTGTATCATCCTGTAGCTATGATATGTATCACATGTCGTACAGGTAAGGTCTCCGCAGATCCACAACATCGAAAACCATTCCATGGTTTAGACTGTGTAGGAAGCTACAGGTAGTGTTGCCGAGTCGGTTCTAGTTCCCGGCGTACCGCACTATCCGATGAAGCCTTGTAATGGTAATTGTTCTGACAAAAGAGAGATTCGCTTCTGTTCTAAGACAGTTATTGTTCTGGCGAGAAACACAAAACCGTTTGATCTAAACCTACACTAATTGTAGAAGCTAACATATGCCATTTACAGGAGATAATGATGCGTCTAGTCCGTTATATCGTAGCTAATTACTATTTGACATTATAAAGTGTAACATCCTAGCCACGAGGCTTCAAGATCACACTGAATGATCGTATAATCAGATGTTTTGGAATCATTGTAACGCGGGTCTGACAGGGATGGTCATCACAAGAAGGTTTTCGGGGCCTGTTTTGTATCAGAGCCGAATCTGTTTATATTTCGCTCGAGAATCCGTAATATGATAGTTTGCATGACACGAACAATATGTATAAGGTAGATATATACAGAAGCAGTTTACAAAATATTCTAGATAGTCAGTCGGCCCCGATGCAAATAAATAATAGATTTTTGAACTCGTTAGAATATATGTTATGCTCTAGCGCCACCCGGGCCCGGGTATGATTTGAATGTTGTGTATTATTTGTGGAGATATACGACGTCTAGAAATATTTTGTGATAATAACTTTTTTGTAGAGACCATTCGGCATTTTTTGTTGGATTTTTGTACGTTGTTAATTGAGATATGAACGCAACACCCCAACGCTATACAATATGCCCATCCCACAACAGTTGACATACCATCGTAAGTGTATTTTGCGAATCATCGTGATATACGGATAAGCTGATTTCAAATATCTTAGATTGCTTTCGTTAACTGAGAGTTCAATGATTGGACTCTGTGGTTCTGGTCTCGAGATCTCAAGTTCACAAGAGATGCAATGAATTGTTGGCGCATCTCCACACATAGACTATGATCATGTTGTAAAAGAAATCGAATAAAGTCCTTTTCATTGTTAAATTGAGAAGCCGGACTGTAAATATAGTACACTAACCATGAATATAAAACTAAGGTTGGTTAACTCCCACTGCCCGAGTATCGCCTTGTAATATCAAGCTAATGTTGGTTACCTCGCACTGCCCGAGTTTCGCCTTGTAATATCAAACTAAGGCTAGGTAACTCCCACTGCCCGAGTATCGCCTTATAATATCAAACTAAGGTTGGTTAAATCCCACTGCCCGAGTATCGCCTTGAAATATCAAACTAAGGTTGGTTAACTTCCATTGCCCGAGTATCGCCTTGTAATATAAAACTAAGGTTGGTTAACTCCCCCTGCCCGAGTATCGCCTTGTAATACCAAACTAAGGTTGGTTAACTCCCAATGCCCGAGTATCGCCTTATAATATCAAACTAAGGTTGGTTAACTCCCACTGCCCGAGTATCGCCTTATAATATAAAACTAAGGTTGGTTAACTCCCACTGCCCGAGCATCGCCTTGTAATATCAAACTAAGGTTGGTTAACTCCCCCTGCCCGAGTATCGCCTTATAATATAAAACTAAGGTTGGTTAACTCCCACTGCCCGAGTATCGCCTTGTAATGTCAAACTTGACGCTTTCCAGATTCCTCGATTTTCTTATGTCATATATAATTTGTTACTTTAGTTTCTGTTGATTAAATGTTACAAATTCGATAACTAGGTTTTATGAAATGTAGCTCGGGAAAGGTACCAGTGAGACGGGTATTATAAGGCCATCCTCCTGCATATATTTGACCTGCTTGTCAATCACGACGTGACAAGCAAACTGTGACGTCAGTGTCAAATTTGGATTATGACGTCACAATATACAGAGACTGATATATATTTTCGACATTTGATGATATTTCATGAAATTGGCGTGAAATTGCACATAGAAATTAAAAAGCGAGATACCATTCTAACCCCAAGGAAACAATTTAATTTCCTTGTCTGTGGCCAAGTGAAAAGTCAAAGGTTTACGACACCCATATCGAGCTTGTTTGACAAAATACTTTTTTCGCCGATATTTTCTCATTATATTTATTTACTTTCAGACATGCCACGTTGTAGCAGCCGACTACTGGTCAATATGGACAGAGTGGAGCGAATGTTCCCGCACGTGCGATTCCGGAGCGGCCTACCAGCTAAGACGCTGTCTACGGAGCAGAAGGTTCGCGCGAGGTTGTGATGGAGAGCACATCCGGTACTCGACATGTAACGCTAAGGTACAACCACACACGGGGCTGTAAACATAACTTTGTCTGTAAGGTAACTTTGTCTGGCTAGCTAACCACACACGGGGCTGTAAACATAGCTTTGTCTGACTGGCTAACCACACGCGGGGCTGTAAACATAACTGTGTCTGGCTGGCTAACCACACACGGGGCTGTAAACATAACTTTGTCTGGCTGGCTGGCTAACCACACACGGGGCTGTAAACATAACTTTTTCTGGCTGGCTACAGACTGTTGTCAGAACAGTGAACCGGGAAAGACGTCATCTTAATGACGTGACATTTCAGTGAGATAGCACTATAACGAATTCTCGACCCCACCGGCTGTACAGCTATCGCTTAGTGTTGACGAGGTTAGGCAACTCTGATATCTATATGAAAATCTTAAAAAGCAGCCCTATGTATCTGTGACATTACAAACATATGATCAAACAAACATACACGGAGAGAATTAGCACTTTCGTCTTTAAATTGTTTTACGTTTAGAAGTCTATCTGTCTTTCTTTACTGTCATCCGAACATAATGTGCGACATTATAACGTATGTGCATAATTACTTGAAACTGACCTACACTAACGTTGGGTCCATTTGCGGGTAATAACCTTAGTATAAAAACGACTATAAGACCTTGACCAAACGTTAAACAAACGTCATTTTTTTTAGACGATATGAACATTTGATTTTGCCGCCAAGATATTTGAGAGACATTTTCTTAAAACTTTGTATTTGTACTTTTCACTACAGGCATCCATATTGGGACCGAATCGTTGAAATGATATTATCAAATGTTTTATGGAATTGGACAAGTGTTCGGTGTTTTTAGACTTGGACGTCTTGACGACATAAGACAACGGATATCCATATTTTAGATACCCCCGTAGCAGAGTGCAGGCTCCCATATTATTGCCATGTTGTGGACACGTAGCCCGAGTTTCCTGTGGCCCTAACGCCAGACTTAGACATTCTGACATATAGATGTCTGGTTTTGGGCCAGAGCGCACTCCTTTATGAAAAATTCTCCGATACCGTTTGGTATATCGGGGAGTGGCTTATCAACAAAAACGACGCGGTCCGGAACCGTTTTCGGCCCGGATCGGTACGGCTTGTTAATTAGTCACTCACATGAACTACAAAATGGCGTTCGCTCAGGTGGGAAATTTTGAATGATTGAAAACCGAGTAGTCTTATGACGGAATTAAGCAGCTGTTGGTGATAATAAGAGAGGATTTGGATCAATACATAATCCATTTCTCATAGCGTTTTCTCTATGTTAAATATTTGTTTGATGCAGTTTCATTTGTTTTTGGTATCAAATGTATAGGTGCAGTCATATATGTATTATGTGCATCTTTCACCCCTAGTTACTCGCTTAACCAACGTTTCCAGAAATAAAGAAAGAAGGGGATGTTTGAATCTGTACCAAAAGCAACATGTTTATACCTTAAAATTTAGATTAAGAGATAATTTCCAAGGCCATCACTATTTGCTGGTTGACATATATAATACTTTGACTTTACAGGATTGTCCCCGTGGAAGTGTTGACTTCCGGTTGCAGCAATGCGCTGCGCACAACGATGATCGCCACCAAGTGACCAATTTAAAGTGGGTACCCTACCATGATTCGACCAGCCCCTGTGCGCTTTATTGTCAGGCTGTGGGTTCGAACACCATCCGAAGATTCAGCCCTAAAGTTCTGGACGGGACGAGATGCCGGGATGATGTCCTCGATATTTGCATTAATGGGAAATGTTGGGTAAAGTCAACAATGATATTTGGTTTATCGGTGACTTTTGCATTATCATTATTACATCCTCGATACTCCAGGGGCAACGCGCTCTACACCCCTAAAATAGGTCATAGCAAAATTGAAGACACATGGCTAGCTACTTGATGGGTCTCAGGTAAAACAAAAACACAGACCAATCGCTAGGCTGCTACATGTACCTGTAATTTGTAGAATACAGAGAACAGTCGACTTCAAAGCCAGTAAATTTTACCGTTACGCTACCGCGAGATTATTTTGATGTACTGTACATCAAAGGATCAATCTAGTTTTCTTGTTTCATTCACAAGGTGGCGCACTCGGAGCCTCCGATTTTCTCGTGACATATTCCAGGGGTGCAGAGAGCGTAGCCATGTTATTTCGTTCAGCATTTCTAGGTGCAGACGTCACTTTGTTTTGGCTTACACTAGTAAAATCCGCTATTCAATGGCCCTATTTTAAAAATGAAAACATATATTAAATGATAAACAGAGAATGTCTAGCCTTTAATTTTTAAATAAACATAAAATGAAGATACCATAATAATAACGAACCTGACAAACTTGAAAATATTGTAATCTTGCGTAATATCTTCCTGCTAGCCTGTCGGTTGTGATAAGGTCCTGGGCTCTAAAACATACCTGGATTCTTGTGGAGTATGCGGAGGCAATAACTCATGTTTACCCGAAACCGGAAACACGTGGTACAGATGGATCAATACCGGATATGGGCCTTGTTCGGAGACCTGTGGTGTAGGTAACATCGATTACTTCCCCTTTTGTAACATTTATATATAATTATCTCCCTTTGATTGGGCGTTGAGTTTTGTGTAATTATTATTCATTATGAGAGTACCGCCCTAATATACTACTTTATGTAAATAGTGACACTTGGAATTAACTCTGATATGTCAAGTGGTTCCGGCAGAAGTTATATAGTCGCTTGGAGCATTGCGACGATTTCTGTTTGATCAAAACATAAGGAGATGCATTTTCTATACTTAATTTATTTTTAGATCGTAATCATATATCTTGTTAAAGTTTGTTTCCGGTCATCTGTATCAAATGTTTGGGAGGTATCGAAAACATTTACAGCTATATTCAAAGATATATATGTTTTCACATTGCTACCATACTATGCATTGTAAACGCCGGTGTCAGCGTATTACCTAATGTAGTAACGCTCATTATAATCTCGTAATTATGACAATAAACATGACGTCATGACATTGTGATTGAAATACAGGCATGAATTATAAATGGTAAACGTGAAAGTTTCTAAACCCATTTCATCAATATCATCAGAGACTGAAATTTTCATCAAAATAAATTAGGCCTATATCATGTTAATAATAGTATGTAACCACAGTTATAAAGTAGAAATAAAAACACTTATTAGTTCATAAAACTTTCATATGGTTGAAACATGGATTTTATAACAACGTCACAACAAATACCCGCAACATATATATTGACTTATATCCTGTAATGATTGTTTGATGAGGAGAATGAGTTAAATTTGCTTGTTACACATAATGTTGACAGGTTTCCAAGAACGCCGGATAGCTTGTCAGGATACCAGAACCAGACGATTGGTCAACAGCCAAAATTGTCACGGAAGTGACGTCATCGAACGCGTCAGACGGGAGTGTATCAGCAAGAAGTGCCTGCCAAGGTTAGAAAAGTCATTCGATATCAATCTGATTAAAATCATATGTTACATGGCTCCGCCTGAACATCTGAATGTGCCGCGGTCAGGGTCACGTTCAAGTGACCTTTAGATGAACCAATCAGAGGCGCGCTGACAAAAGTTTGCCAGCGAATCGGAATATCATGGTTGATAGATAAATAGCGAGGGGTATCGAACAGATTAGTTTTTCCAAAACAAATATGGCGGCGGAAGCTGAGGTTTCTTCGACGCCAAGGAAAACGTACCCATTGGGTAATATGTTTTACGGCACGGCCGTTAGTGAGGGCGGAGACAGGTTGTACTGTAAATGTATCGGAATATCGGTACTGTACTCTTTCAAGCATCGCGTGATGTGTTAAATTACTAAATCAGACCTACATGTGTAGCTATACAGTGTATATAACAATTAAGTTTCCTTTCTTGATTTCTTTTTGGCTGACAAGATGTTTGATATCTTGAAGTTTTCCGCCTAGGCGTATGATGACATGACATTAATGTGAGAATGCGAAAGGTTCATTACACTATAGAAGTATTTAAATTTGCACCTCTTGAATCCATTGCAAAAATCAAGTGCAGCATATTCTACAAAGACATTGAACTAAAACATATTAGGAAGGATATTGTTAATCATGTATAATAGCATAGTTATCTGATATCCACGAAAAGATATACATATATATATATACATGTATATATCTTTACAAATAAGCCCTTTGGATTACTTCAAACTTAACTTCAATGACTTATAAATATTGCATCCAGAGATAATTTATGCAAAGTATTTTGCATTTTTTGTGCTTTTTATGTGTGAAAATTAATTTGTTCAATGCTTTAAAAACTGGATTTATATGAAGTTTCTATTAAAATAAGAAGCATATGCAAAATCACAATTTTTGTCATTTTTCAATACCCATCATTGCAGCCAAGAGAGTCAATAGATCTATATATCATATATATATCGTGGATGAATACATTTGTTTCAGCAACTTACTGACTATATGCTTTATATGTCTCTGCTTTATGTATAGTTTAACAATAGAGAAAATGTGTTGTTTCCTCAATTAGAAATTGAATCAGTTCAGCACATAAAACTGTATATTTGTTTTTAATCGTGCAGATTTGTAAAACAACAGATTTTCTTTTATGAATAAAAAATAGCTGTGCGATAGTAATCAAAAATGAAAATGTTACAGTATGGATTCAATTTTGTTCTTCAGTCTATTTTTTTCATGCAAAATATCAATAAAAAAAAAAATTATGAAAATACTTGTATGTTTTTTTATCCTATCATTTTGCGTCACTGTGATAAACTCCCTTTTTGTTGACAACCAGCACGTTGTTTTGTTGATATTCCGTTTTCTAAATATATACCACTGCAATCTCTACACAGAGTTGTGCAAGGACCGTAACTCTGAGTGATAGTCTCCTTCAACCAGACTATTGTTGTCTGCGCAAGCGTCTGATTGAACGAGACTACACTGCCGATACAATATTTTTTCGACCATTCAGAACTAGAGCAATGAAGCCGGTAACGTTATGTCAAGAGAATTTACATCTTTAACCAAATCAATTATTTAAGTATCCTATAGTTAGATTAAAGTTTTTTTATCTTACAAAAATGTAACGTTTGTTCGAGATTCGGCAAACGAGAACTTGTTTCGAGATCAAGATGGCGGAGACTACAGCGCGTGCGACTGGCGGCCATGTTAAGACAAGTTTATCTTTATTTTTCTTACATACGTGTTACCTATAGGGAAAGCTTCGCACTCACGGGCCCTTCGGGCCCGTGAGAGAGCTCCGCCCTCTAATAATTGCGTAGGCAACACCATCATACAGTCTTTCTTCTCTAATAAAGCTTCGATTTTTTTTCTGTTCGGGTTTCAGACGATCAATCTCAAATAACTTCAGAACTTTCGCATCATTCTCATCAATGTCTGACATATTTGTTACAACTCCGAGCGCCCTTGTGAAAAAGGGTCTCTGATTGGTCAAAATTTAATGAGTATTTATAAATATAAAGGTCACCTGAACGTGACCCTGACCGCGGCACACTCAGATGTTCATGCGTAGTACGAAATTAACGAAGCCATGTTACATATTATTTTAATCAGATTGATGATCGTTGACAGTAAATATGTTGCTGTATCAGTAATAATAAAGGGAGGTAATTCTGATAACACATCTCAGACATGGAGGTTTGGATTTTATAATCATGACGTTAATATGTTTGAACTTTACAGCTGGCGCGTTGGGCCTTGGTACGACTGTACACAGACTTGTGGAGGGGGCTTTGCTTGGAGGACTGTCATATGTGTCGACACGTTCCTAGACGGTACACAGCGAGTGCTAAAGGATACAGAGTGTCCAAGCCCCAAACCGTCGACGAGGAAGTCCTGTGGGAACATCCTATGTCCGAAATGGTATGCGGGAGAGTGGACGCCGGTAAGTCACATTTTAAACATATTTTATTGCCTCATGATAGCAACGGAATTAGGCACAAGCATTCGGGATACTCAAGGGGTTACGCCCACTTACGCTCTCTCAGATCGTAAGTGAGCGTTACCCCTGGAGTATCGAGGATTGGTTAAAAGTTTAAAAACGTATATACATCCAGCCCTTTTTGTTATGTATTACAATAATAATGATAAAATAAACAGCTTTAGAATTGACACACACATTGGCAAGATCAAATGTGTACATTCACAGATTCACCCGTCCTCCATAGAAAACCATTCAAAACTCTAGAAGATTAATAAAAACAACTAGTGATACACTATTCGCTGTTCACAACTTTCTACCAGATCTTAATCAATAGACTTACTGTTAGGTGTTCAGACGTCACTCGGCTAACCTCGGCCGATTGGATGTAGGTACGGAATCTGCCGAGTTTTGACGAGTGGGTCAGACGCACCCTTTTGTCTACGTAGCCACTGTATTTTGATTTAAACATATTTCATTTGCAAAAATACAAAAGGGATTAGACACAATTTATAAAACTCAAAATTCGTAAGGCATAGACTAACTATAAATTATTGTAACCGTATACTCAAACGATAACCATTCCGATAGACAGAACAATGACAAATGGTTAAGTCGGTGGATCAATAAATTTAAAATGAAAACTCTTTAATTATATTATTTCATTAACATGTCAAACGACATCCACTGGTTGGACAGAAAAAAAAATCTGACACTTACGATTTCAACATTAGTATGCTCTTTGATAATCTTTATCAGAACATTTGAATTTTAAATCACTATAAACCAGGTACTGAGACAAATTGGCTGTAAGGACAGGCGAGTTACCTCGCTTTCGTGCAGTGTCGAGTATCCTTTCGTTTCCGATTGTTACCAGATCCTACTTTTGTAGATTTGAATTAACGAAAAACATTGCCGTTCAAATATTAATTGTTTATTTCTTTAATTCTGCTGCTTTTTGAACAAAAGTCAAATATTATATAATAAATAAAGATGCCTAAGACGATAAATGTTCGAGATAAATGGGGTAGGTAGCATTCCTACTTCGTGATAACAATGTTCCATTGTGTGTTTTGGTTACAGTGTAGCGTCTCGTGTGGGCCAGGCTTCCAAGATCGAGATGTTGTGTGTCGACATATCGGGATCCAGTTCTGCCAGGCCGATAGAAAACCCGTCACCAGGAAGAACTGCTCTACAAACATCCCGTGTTCGTCAAAAGATGGTGAGAACAAGATTTTTAGATCAGATGATAAACAGGTCCTGTCTAAATGGCATTGTTTATAAATATTTGTACATCTTCAAGGATGGTTGGGTGTCGCAGTGGATAGCGCACTTGCCTTTCACTAAGGCGACCGGGCTTTGATTCCCCGATCGGACGAGAAAAGGAATGGGGTTGATGGTTGAAGCCCGAACACGTCGGTTTTCTCCGGGTACTCCGGTTCCCTCCCACATTAAGACCCCCCTCGCTAACATCAGGGCCAACAAGAGTGATTAACATAAGTTGAAATAACTTGTTTCATAATTGTTGTAAAATAAATAAAGTTTTTATTGAATTATGTTTTGCACCAGTGCTAAATTAAGCGAAGGACTTAATATAGCAAATTTAAGGGTCGCACGAATGTTTTGCAAGTTCTATAGTAAAAGTTGATGGTTGAAGCCGATTCGTCGACGTTCAGCCTTAACCTGTGTAATGTATAAAATGATTCGCAAACTGTTTAAACAACATCCACAAACTTACTGTATACAGTCATGTATGGTACAAAGTGTCCTCTACAAAAGGTTTGTGAAATTAAAACATCACGATGACGTTCTGGATACCAATTCGCGAAATTTTGTACTCGAGAAAATGACGGGTCTACAGTAAAAGCATGAAGCTTTATGTAATTGTTATTTTATGGGAAAGCGTTATTTTGATTTCAATTTCAAAAAGATCGCTTTGAATGAGCTCTTTCCCTTACTTTAGATTAAGGAGACTTCATCATTCAAGGAAAGGAAATATATATTTTTTTAAATGAAAATTAAAAAAAAAGAAAGAAAGCAAGCATCGTTTCATTTTATCTGACTATTGACTAAAATCAGCATGGAGTAATATATTTTCTCGCTTTTTTAGACGATATACAGGAGGTCTTTGATGGGGAGCAGCGAGACTCGTTTTACACCGCTGACGTCATCTACGAAGACGATATAGACACACAACTATTAGCGGTCCCAAAGTAAGCATTTATCAATGGACTGTTGAACTAATACATCACATCTTTATAGCTGCCTGTTCATTTTTTCGGTTACACGAAACAATATGTATATCCTTTTGTATTTGAAATAATTTGAACTTTACCAAATATTATGTCCTACTCTTCGGAAACCCTTGTTTCGTTGTTGGCAGGTTTGTAGTGAGTCACTAAACCTCGTGTTTTCATTGCCAGGTTTGTGGTCAGTCACTGGGGACCATGCAGCACTTCCTGTGGGAAAGGAACGAGATTTAGGTTCGTCCGTTGTAAGGTTTTCCTCTCCTTCCTGGACACCCTGACGGACCTTTCCGACTCCGACTGCCAAGGTATCTGTTAGAAACATAACTTTACAGAAAGTATGACACATTTTAAGACGACCGGGAACGGTCGCCATTTTCCGTATTTTCTCGTTTACAGAAAGTGCCGACGGTCCCCGATTGATATTAAGAAAGTCATGAAATGCTGTGACCATCAATGTGTATGTTTTAAAACATTTATCACGTTCTCTATAAAGGAGGATAAAGCTAAATTAAGAATTGGAAGGGAGCGCGATGAAAAGAAAAGAGCTCAAGTTCAAGTTCAAGTTCTTTATTAACTTTAAGTCTTGCGACTTATCAGTGTAAACATATATTAAACAGGATATTTACATATGTACAAAAAGCCACATTGGTCACTGGAGAATGAACAATACACACATACAAACTGTCATATATCTGATCGGCGCTTATTTGCCGCTATCAGATACTTTCCAAGATTACATAATTCTTTAATATTCTGTGTATTAAGTAATTGAACAAGCTTATATACACTAGGGTGATATATCATACGAACAACATGATGAGAGAACATGGATGCAACGGAGTGAGCCAATGTGATAACATATGTAGGAAAGAGCTTTCGTTGCGACAGAGAAAAAAATCATAAAGGTGCTGAAGAGAGTTTTTGAGATGGTGAAGGTGTGAGACAGAGAGTTTTTGAGATGGTGAAGGGGTAAGACAGAGAGTTTTTGGGATGGTGAAGGTGTAAGACAGAGAGTTTTTGAGATGGAGAAGGTGTAAGACAGAGAGTTTTTGAGATGGAGAAGGTGTAAGACAGAGAATTTTTGAGATGGAGAAGGTGTAAGACAGAGAGTTCTTGAGATGGTGAAGGTGTAAGACAGAGAGTTTTTGAGATGGAGAAGGTGTAAGACAGAGAATTTTTGAGATGGAGAAGGTGTAAGACAGAGAGTTTTTGAGATGGTGAAGGTGTGAGACAGAGAGCTTGTGAGATGGTGAAGGTGTAAGACAGAGAGTTTTTGAGATGGTGAATTTGTAAGACAGAGAGTTTTTGAGATGGAGAAGGTGTAAGACAGAGAGTTCTTGAGATGGTGAAGGTGTAAGACAGAGAGTTTTTGAGATGGAGAAGGTGTAAGACAGAGAGTTTTTGAGATGGTGAAGGTGTGAGACATAAAGCTGATGCTGTGTACTTTAACTCTAAATTCACTACAGTCTGCATTATCTGATCACATGACCCTTGGTTTCCGTGACATCAGTGTTAGCAACCACTCCCACTTGATATAAGTTGTAAAACGTGTGCCCAATTCCATTGCTTTGTAAATAGGCAATAAAATATGTTTAAAACAAAACCACTCCCACCGATACGATAGCCGACATCTTGTTATCGTTTGGTTCATACAAGTCAAGTTTTTACGGGGTTTTCAGACAATGAAGACATCCAGAATAGGAAGGGAAGTTTTTACTTTTATATCAGAATGTCCTGCACATATATTTAGAGCATTTAACTGCATTTAACAGTTGTCGCCTGGTTACATTTTTTAATGGCGACCATTGTTTGGAAATTTTCGGTCCGATAATGGCCGTCTGCGGCTGTTCCAAGAATTGGACCAGTGAAGTTTTGCAACAGCAGGAAATATAAATTAAGCTCATCCGACTAATTAAAAAAAGACAGGTCGTATGAGGAAATATAAATATAACGATTGAAAGTCTGTCAGATTGCAGTTACAGCCAATATGAATGCAATCTGGGTGACAGATAAATAGAATGACGTCCATGACAGACGTTCCATCCTTAAACGAACGAGAAACATTGATCTTATACTGTTGTCTTCATTTCACGAATTAAAAACTTCGCGAGTAAGTAGTTGTTAGCATATTTAAGAAAAATGTCGAGATTTGGTTTGAAATTGGTTTTACAGATGTGAAGCCCCCGGAGGATGGGCCGTGTGAGGGCGATCCGTGTCTGGCCCACTACGAGTATCGGGACATTGGTGAGACACAGTGTAGCAGAACCTGTCTGGGAGGTGAGTGACAGTTTAACAGACACACATGTTATTGTTAACAAATCCCATTGACGATGCTGGTGGTCGCATTGTTGAAGTCTTAAACGTGAGAGTTAATGTTAGTAGCAATGCCACTTCGATTGTTACAATGAAAGAAGCATGAAAGAGGAACCTTGTCGCAGCCTTGACGGACAAAAGAAAAGAAAGCATTAAAATATGCTTTTGTCGGATTAAGGTCAACTCCATCAGAAAAATCAACACAAGAAGAAATTTCATTACACATTGAAATGTATGTTGTGTTTGTTGTTGCTGATGCTGCTGTTAAAATGTGTTGGTGTTGTTTTTTACAACAGGTGTAAAAGAATCTATTCTCCGATGTGTCAACAAGTTTACAGATGAAGAAGCACCGGAAAGGCTCTGTGTAGAAGCGGAAGCGATCCCGATAGAAAGAAAGGTCTGCAATGACTTTCCATGTCCACAAAGGTAAGATAAACCATCGTTCGAATTAAGGTCTAGCGCATTATCTCCCTTTTCTGCAGGTTAAATATTTAATATATCAAGGCGGAATGGAAAAACAATCTTCCCTGATAAATGTATCTTCGACTTTTCTTTTGTTTTCTAATTGAAATTTGTTTTATAGTTATCAAACGAAACATTATATTTTACTGTAGAAAAGAATTTCTAAATACGGGCGACCGTTCAGGTCCACGAGCCTATTGTTATATGGTTTGAACCCTTAGACATTGTTCCTATTTTCAAATTGATCGCACCCAAGTGAATATGGTGTTATTTCTTTTCTTTGTGAAGGTGGAAAGTCGGCTATTTCCAGCGTTGCTCCGCAACGTGCGGCGGCGGTTTCATGTTACGAAACGTCTCCTGTGTCCAGGAGTTCTCTTCCGGAAGAAACAACCTTCTCCATCTTCCGGACTTTATGTGTGATCAGCCTACTCCACCCAGGCGTCAGCATTGTAATCGTATCGACTGTCCGGCCAAATGGGTGGTCACCAACTGGTCAGAGGTAGAAACGATTTCTGACCCCCTCCTCTCTCCCTTTCTATCATTCCACTGAGGTGGACTTTTAACGAAATCGCAAAACAATTGAATGAAATCCATGAATACTGCCGAGATATTTGTCCATGACAAAGAAATATGCATTTTCTTTCAAAACATAAGTAGTTACTAGCAAACTCCATTTCCAGTGTTGAATTTCTAATAATCAAGTTTAAGAGTACGGACAAGTAGTGATAGGACTGTAAGGGTATATTCTGTATTTATATACCCCACCGTATGGACATATACAATATAACATTTTATCGTTGAATAAATTTCATTTGGTATAAATAAGTATATATGTATTTCAACTGAAAGTGACAAATTCCATAAAAAGCATTAGTGCTTCGTGGTGAATTTGTTACGTCCTTTTTTGCACTTTGCACATTGTATTTGTTCCAGCCGGTCGAATTTTGTTATGGCCAGGTTTTGCTTACTTCTGTTCATCTAGAGTGTGAGAGAGAGAAAAAACGCAGCAATGGTTCAGAATTGGTAAACGAAAATGTTGTATGTTCTAATGAAACACATGATTAATTATGTAATCCTTTAAAGTTTATCAACTCATCGGTATGATCACAGTTATATATCATGTCTTATGAAACAATTAAACTTGTGTAAACTTTTATTTAAATTCCATTCACAGTGTTCTATGTCCTGTGGTGTTGGCATCCGGTCACGTGACGTGTTCTGTGTGAGGGAATTAGCCAATGGGCAAATAGTAAACGTTACGTATGATGAATGTTGGAACATCCTACAGCCAGATAGATTTTATCAGTGCAACATGACAAAATGTCCCATACCTAAAATTAAAATAGTTGACGTCGTATTTTTTCAACTGAATAAGATAAAAAAGATTCGACTTAGTGTTGGAATGAAAGCATATGTGTTACCAGGGACAACAGTGATAATAAAATGTACCGCAAAAGGAGTTAATAAAAAATCGGTACAGTGGTTCAAAAACGGACGTCGGCTTTACATGACGTCACGAGTGAAATTGACACAACGTTACGCATTAAAAATAAGGAAAAGTCGACCGGAAGTAGATTCTGGTATTTATTCCTGTAAATATGGTAATGTGCGTGCAAATATGACGCTGCTGTTTAGCACAGTTTATGACCTTTTCCAAGAAACAGTCGTTCGGGAATCCTATCTATCAGAAATGCTGGCGGAAACCCGTGCTAAAAACATGACAACATTTCAAAAAGATCCACTGGACCGAACAATACGGCCATTGTATCTCGTGGAAGTGCCTTGGAGCGCATGCTCAGCCACGTGTGGTGGTGGACTACAGAATAGAAATGTCACGTGTGAAATTATAACCAATGATTATTACGAAATGTTTCCAATGCGGACTTGTATCAAGGCTGGATATCCTAAACCGGAACTTATACGAAGCTGCAGTCTCATGCCTTGTACCTTTTGGAAAGTTGGTGACTGGTCCGAGGTAATATTCAGATGATGTATTTGTTTATGATTTTCTATGAATATTTTTCATTTCCTTTCCTTTTTCTTTTTAACATTTTGCACACTACAATAACTAAAATATTCCACAAAACACGCAAGTACCTTCAATTCTTTTGAGTTTTTATATCTGTCAAACTTTTCACATTGTCATTTTTTTACTTTTTCAATGGTATATATTTGGAATTCCTGTTGAAACTGACATTGCCGACCATTAATAATTTTGATGAAATTTAAATGAAAGCGTTCCCATTGCATCTCGTGAATATTGAATTTATTAACGAATTTGACCTTGAGTTAGTCTATAGGTTGGTTGAAATCATTTTAAAAAGTTCTTAAATATTGTCATCTTTATATTAAGCCAAATATATCAGGAAAATCCAGTTTCAATACGAAATAGAAAATTAAATCTGATGTACAATCACCCAATAGTCTATGCCTAAATAAAGGGTTTATATATTGTATTATTCTAGTGTCTACAGGCCAAGTGTACGAGAAACATGTTCTCTATGATGGAAAGGACTGTGGTTTGTGTTTCTGAAGAGGACGAAACAGTTACAATCAATTCGACCTACTGTGAGGGACCGATGGCGGGGCCGCATCCCATCAGGGAATGCATCAACGTTAACTGCACCGCTAGATGGAACACGTCCGCGTGGTCAGACGTAAGTACGTCACAGGTTTTGAGGTTAATACATAGCTGCGTCACTTGTGTTGTGGTTAGGCCCGAAATACGTCACTGTTTATGTGATGTGCTTAAAATACGTCATTGTTTTGTGGAAAACGTGTCGGTGGTATGTGCTTGGAAGTAAGGTATGCCACTGGTTTCGTGGCTATACAGGAAATACGTCACAGGTTATGTGTTTAGAAGTAAAGTATGTCACAGGTTTTGTGGTTACACCGGAAGAACGTCACTTGTTATTCGTTAGTACAATATGAATGCCATTGGATTTGCGATAGCACAAATTGAATAAACGACTCGGCACTCTTATCAAAATTGTTTTGAAGTCAATATTGCATTTGTAAACATGAGTACCAATTTGACTTACCTAACTTTATGCTTTCAGTGTATGGGTGAGTGTGGGAGGAAGGGATTTCGAGCCAGGATGCTTAACTGTATATGGTCCAACACCGGACAACCGGCCAGGCAGCACTGTGAAGGGGTCCGCAGACCGAGAACGAGAAAAAGTTGTATTAGAAAGTGTTCTAATGGTAAGGAATAACATAGCCATGTGTTAAAACCTATTTTAGGGCAACCCTTTTATAGTTGACAACGTTATGTAAGTCATTGATATCTAACAAAATCGAGAGAACAAGGATTCAGATCAATATTTGTCTTTATACCTGTATTACATCTGTGTATGCGCACTTCCGTTACATTACTGTCTCTGTACTTCCGTTACATTGCTGTCTCTGTACTTCCGTTACATTGCTGCATCACTACTTCCGTTATATTGCTGTCTCTGTACTTCCGTTACATTGCTGCCTCACTACTTCCGTTACATCCATAAGTGTCTCTGTATTTCCGTTACATTACTGTCTCTGTACTTCCGTTACATCAAATTGTCTGAAGTGCCGTTTCATCAAATAATCTGTACTTCTGTTACATTACTGTCTCTGTACTTCCGTTACATTACTGTCTCTGTACTGTTACATCCAATAATTTCTCCGTATTTCCGTTACATCACTGTGTATTTCTGTACCCTCGTTCACGCCAATGTTTCTGTACTTCCGTTCCATCACTGTGTATTTCTGTACTTCCGTTAATCTACCGTCTATCTTCTTCCGTTACATCATTGTCTCTTTATTTCTGTTTTATCTATGTATCCTAGTACTTCCGGTATATCATTCTAACCATGTACTTCAGGTACGTATAGATGACATTTTGTTTTTTTCCGTTACAGCTTGTGTTGACGAGTCAGACTACTGTAGTATTGTGAAGATAATGCGCCTCTGTGACAGCGGCAGTTTCCGGAAAAAGTGCTGCAAGACCTGCTCATAGCCAAACCTGCCTATTGTTGTTATTCTTTGATCCATATTTATTCAATACTCATTCATAAGTTGCTTGTTATTCCAACGATAGGACGATTCTTTTATCCCATGCATTTTTCAATTTGAATAAATATTCTTAACTACAAGTGATGACCTATATGCGCATATATTAAATCAGCATATACTGGATTTCCTGTCTTAGTACCTTTCTCTCCGCTTGGATGTGTTCCTGCCATCGGGAACCGTCGGCACTTTTTGCGTTTACGGAAAGTGCCGACGGTTCCCGATCAACTACGGTAGACAATCCAGTCTAAAATCCTTATTATGTTTTAAGCGATAAATATCAAGTTGACGACATTTCATTTGGTCAGAATAGCTTAACTTTATGTGTGTTATGCTCTTATCCGTACTTACTTGAAACATGCCTTTGCCGACATGATGAAATAAAAACTGGTATGGTTTTATATAATAAAAAAAAATCTCGTGTAGGTTTTGGTGTATTCATGAAGCTGGCTGAGAATAACTCATCTCGATAAAATAGCTAATAATATGTTCTCGAAATCAACCACCAAGAAAAAAAAATGACATTTGCTTTAACATGCTAAGGAATTTATTTACTTAATGTATTGTTCCTGGCGTTAAGGCCGTATCAGGGTAAACATTGTGCTGTCCTTCCGTTATTTTTTCCTTATCGTCCTCTCCTGCCTTTATAGTCATACCTTCTTGCTAAAACAAATGGTACAAATACCCCATACAAAGTCTTCGTTATACATGTATTGTTAGCAGAGTTATGGTCCTTTGATGCTAGCTCGCTATATCGGAACTTAGTCTCCAAAAGTAGACATTTGTACACCTATGTTAGTGATTATAAAATATTTATTCTTGTTATTGATTTCTGGGTCCGTATTCATGACTGTTCTCATGCTCAATCGTAAAATCTGTGCTCAAACCAGCTTTCTTGTTTCTTTATTTAATCATTTGACACGGCAAAAAATGTAAAGTGTGTAAGTCTCTCAAAAATTCTTCCAAATCCACGACAAAAAGAAATTGACCTTCAACACAGAATCTGAGTTTGAGCACGAGAACAGTTTCGTGACTACGGCCCTGGACTCTTGGAACGAGACTTAAATTGCAGATTGTCTATATTTCATGTTTAAGTGTTAACTTTATTTATTTTACAACAGCTTAAGGATTCCCGAACCACCGTTTTCAATGAAAGCTTTTTTCTGGCATGATTTTTTTTTTTTTTTTATAAATCATTTCTGAAAATAAACCCATACTTTTATGAAAAATAATCATTTATTTTGAATAAACAAAAAAACCAACAACATCGTTTCAAATGAAGAAAAATGCGACGGGGCAAGACCAGGGTTCGAACCCTGGATCTCCAATCAGAACTGTCGCTCTAACCGACTGAGTAGTCTCGTTCAACCAGACGCTTGATCACTTGTCTGTTCGGCGTTGGTTTGCGCAGATAACAAGAGTCTGATTGAACGAGACTAACCAACTGAGCTACCTGGTCAACGGAAGTGCCCGGCTTAACTACACTTAGTTTAAACATATTTTATTGCTTTTTATTTTTACAGCAATAAGATCGGGCACAAGTTTTTACAATACAATAATTACACTTTAGTGATATCCAAAACTAAACCAAACAAAAACTACAGTGGATCTATCTAGCGTTTTGTCTGCAGCGGGACAGGGGTCTTTAATATATGGTGCTCTAGACGATTATCGAGATTAATTATGATATGCATAAGATAGTAACGTACGTAGCCATGTTAGTGATGCTAGATGTTCCAAGATGTCTTAATTCATTGTCAAAATGTCTTGTCGTATACGCTAAAATATGTGACTCGCAACAACGTAGACTTCTGGAAGCTTAATAAGAAACAAACATGCTGCAGATGTACTTAATTTAGCGGTGTCAAATGTAAGCGCTCAGTTGACAACTGGTGTACCATTCGGAACACATCGCCCCGATTCCAGTTCCTTCCAACGTAGATGAACGAATCGGCCGAGAAGTTCCGAGTGCTGGTGTACGTGTCAGAATAATACTCCTGAAACAAAAGAGGAGGCTTTACACAGGCCTCAATTTTGTTTTTCAATCCCTCTTATATATATATTTGATATATATATGTACCATTTTTGAACGAAATAAATATTGTTTAACTAAATTATACTTTAGCGTTGTGAATATACGTACTTTGTTTGTTTTGAGGGAAATGCGCTACAGCACATACCATTATCAAGACAGCTCACGCGCTATTATTCTGTAAAACATGTCACGTCACACATTTCATTCATAATGGCGCAATGCATTTTCCTCTCAATTTCAACCTTTTTTTACGGAAGGAAAGAAAGGGAGAAAAATCAATCAATCAAGTGGGATGCAGACAGAAAAATCTCAACATGCGCGATAAGTCTTATGCATTTTTGTCTTAAGGTTAGAATTAGACACAACAACAAACTAATCAACAAAGATGTTACCCTAGGATTGAGATTACTTTCCCGAGGGTTGAGACTCCCAATCTCATATCAAGGAGGTCAATGATTCTTTATCTCCTAACCTGGTCATGTATTGTGTTTCATATACATTATGTAATGTTAGCGTAATAGGCTAAAAGCGGGGTTGACGTGACGTTGATGCATTGTTGACGTAACGTCATTTTATTGTTGACGTAACGTCATACAGTTGTTTTAAATAGAGCAATCACTCGTCTCAACCCTACGGTGAGACTAATAGAATATTCCCCTATTTGAGGGTGTGACAGAGAAATCTCCTACCCGAGGGGTGATGTTTTTTGGTTGTCTAACCCGAGGCTCTGCCGAGGGTAAGACAACCAAAAAAAATCAACCGATGATTTGGAGATTTCTCTGTTAACACCCTCAAGGTAAGGGATGATTATTTTTATCCCATCCTATTATTTAATTCACAACTCCACCGACAGTAGTCTGCCAAGTTTGGAAACAAAAACACATGTCGGGTATGCATATCGTCATTCACTTTTGATGACGTCACAATTACCGATGATGCATTTTAATGACGTCACAATTGAGCACGTGCTAATCGGCACGAGGCTATTTCCCCCTAGGGAGTGACAAGCTGATCGTTCCCGGCTAAAACGGGAGACACCCCTGTGAAGGGTGGGAGAAAAGGATATCTCAAAAAGTGAGGATACACCTATCCATGGTGAAAATACAAACGTGGAGGTGGGAGAAAAAAGGTTTATATCTACCTATGGAAAGACAAGAAAATAAAGAAAAACAGGAAGAAGAAAAAAAAGAAAGTAGAAAAAGGACACACACAAATCGACATTACAAAGATAAAACTCTAAACCAACATGATAATTATTTTATGACGTAATTTGGACCTCAATAATTTTGAAAATGATTTATTAAGTCGGTAAGGTAGCCATATATTATCATAATATGTAAATTATCTCCACAATTAAAAGTTAAGCATTTTAAGTTTGTTATCGAAGTGTAGTATAGAACAGAGGGACGTGTGAATCCTACGAACAAATGTTTAAATGGAGATAACTCTTACACGAATCACGCGTAGCTGCCTATGCGCCATCCTTGATATCAACATATTTTATTGATTTGGGCACAAGTTATAACAACTTATAGAAGCCCTCTCCTCAACTATAATATCACATTGATAGTGATAGCGACATATGCCAATCAAAATAATTGTATGAAAACAAGGAACATAGAAGTAGAAAATAAAATAAAAAGAGAGTTTTGAAAGACAGAAGAGATCATAGAGATGAGTAGCGTATTTTTCGAATGATTATTTTGAAACTACTTAAACTTAAACTACTGCATGGCACGCACTAGCTACACATTCTTTTCACATTAGCTATTCGTTTTTCCATATAAAACACATTCCTTAGAATCCTTCCTCGAGTCATTCCTGTTCCTTCTAGGTAACATATCAAAGTGCCATGCAGCGGAATTATTTCAGTTTGAAAAGAATATATATATATATACAATTTGCTGAACCAGTAACACTATTAATTATTCTATAGACCTACAGAGCAGAATGAGAGGTTTAGGAGAGAAGAGATTATGACAGATTAGATACATATACTTGTTCACACGAAGTTTTGTTTAGAAACGGTCACTTGAATAAATAAAAGTCTGAACAATTTCAAAATTACGCTCATTGTCAACATTTGATAATTCAACATTTCCAGACAATAGTAACTCTAGGTGCACAGGATGATATGGTATCAACTTATTTAACATTTCATGTCTAATGTTCCTGTACATTGGACATTGGAAAAAAATAATGGTATGAGTTTTCACAGGGGTGGCCACAGGCACAAAAAGGAGATTCTACAAGGTTCACACATAATTCAGTTGGCTACAATTGTGACTAAGTTTAGTTAATAAGATATTTAGGCGACGGGGTCCGTAATTAAAGAAACACGGTGGCTTATGATGTTTTGGAGTTATAGCAGTTTTGAATTTACTAATTGTAGTTTGATTTCTAGTGGTTTCTGATCAGTTATTCTATTATTTTGTAGTAGCTGGTATATATGATGATCTGGTATTAGAAAGAATAAAGTTATGCATGGTATAGTTATTGTTATTTCTAAGGGGATGTGGAGTTCTATCACATACTAAACCTGGAAGTAATGTATAAAGATATTACGGTGTTAGTTTATTGTGCATTTTGTAAAATAAAGTTAGCTTTCTTCGTTCTCTTCTGATATTCAAAGTGTCCCACCCCGTTTCAAAATATAAAGATTGAGAACTTGCATATACTGGCAACCCAGTTACTACTCTAGCAGCTTCCAGTAGAAGTTTTTCTAACAAATCAAAATGGAATTTAGATAAACCACTCCAGAGTTCACAAGCATATTCCATTATAGATAGAATGAAACATATATATATTTTACTAAGAACTTTCCTATTCACCAGAAATTTTAATTGTCTTAAAGCATTTATCCGTTTTGAAGCACTTTATAAATATTTTCAACATGATTACCCCATTTAGCATTTGCACTAAAAGTTACCCCTAAATGCTTATGTTTTCAGAAAAAAATAAAATGCTGTCGCCAAACAATAGCTCCAGATCTTGATTTTTTTAAATATTTGAGATAAATAGAACATCTGTTTTATTAGAATTAAATGTAACTAACCATTGCTTGGACCATGCATTTATACATTGAAGATCATGATTCATTACTCGTTCAATTTCGTTGCAGTTGTTAGAACCAAATATTAAAGAAGTACATGTATCATCAGCAAAAAGTCAAGATACGCTAATTAAAGTTTCGGAAATATCATTGATATAGATTAGAAATAAAATCGGGCCCAACACCGAGCTCAAGCTTGAGGTACCCCAGCTTTTAATGACTGACTATTCGAAAATGATTCACCAATAAAAACTTTTTGTTGTCGGGCCTGTAGATAATTAATTAACCACTTCAAAAAATTTCCTGTATTACCATGAGATTTAAGCTTTTCAATCAGACCCTTATGCCAAACTCTATCAAAAGCCTGTGATGTGTCACAAAAGATAATACAAGTATGTTTCTTTTCCTCAAGATTTAAACATATATTATGGTAGATTTCGATTAGCTGATGCACAGTGGAATGATTAGACATAAATCCAGATTGTCTTGAATAAAATAGTGAGTTTTCAAAAAAGTAGTTGTGAATATGTTTGACAATTTACTCCTTCAAAAACTTTTCCTACAGCTGATAGTAAAGATATAGGTCTGTAATTTGAAGGTTTTTTGTACAAGGGCATTACTATAGTTTGTTTCCATAAAGTCGGGTATATACATTTAGAAAATGACATATCAAATAATATTTGAAGAGGTTTACATATAGTTTTTGCAGTGTGTCGTAACATATGGTGACTGTACCATCTGT